CAATTCCCTGTATCAAAACAAAACAAAATAAAAAACACAGTCATCTCAAGGTGAGTTGAAGGTGACTACCATGGGACATTTCCCACAGGACTGCTGGGCCCTGGAGAGCTGGGTCCATGTCTCAGACCTCTTCATCAGCTCTATAGTTCCCGGGCTGGGATGTATAGTTCCCAAGATGTGCTGGGCACAGAGTCCCCGGCTTCTCAGAGTGTGATCCACGTGCACCTCCCTCTACATCTCCTGGAGCCGGCTGGCAATGCAAGATGTCTCCTCTCTGCCCCAGAACTGCATCCCAGTGTGAGCCCAGGGGCTCCCTACATTTGTGCAGGTTTGAGAACACTGCTGAGGAGGTCACCTCATCATGCCCTGGCCATATCAGTGAGGAAACCGTGCACTTAAGCAAAGTAACCCATGTTTCACCTCAGGTCACCGAGCTGAGCAAGTGGGAGGAAGACAAGAACCCTGTCTCCTGCAACTCAGGCCACTGGCCCTGGGGACCAGAGGAGCTTCAGGAGAGAGGGACTCCCACAGTACCATGACGGTCAGACCATAGATGTCGTGGGTTCTGGCTGGCACCCATGTCCAAACAGACTGCTGGGAGGAAGAAGAGTCACCATGTGGTACCAAAGGCATTAAGCCAGCACCAAGGAAGCATGCTTACCTAACTGACTATGAAGAACTGAAGTCAGGCACTTTCCAGTGATGAGATGTGCTCCAATCACCAAACTCAAGGCAAAGAGATCAGCCAGGAAAAGGAGGAAGGGGAGCCAAAAAGCTCATTTGCTGTAATGAATTGACTAGAAAAGTTCAAAATCCCACCATTTATCATTTGACTAAGTTGAAGGAACCATAAAATCTCATGATTGGAATGTAGCTGAAAAGTTATTTGCTGCAACAATCATCAGACTCTGCACCCTAAGATCCCAGTGAGAAGCTGCCTGGCCTCCAGGGCCACCCTCCAGCAGTGGGCCTGCTAGCCTCAGTCCTGTCGGCAGAAACCCCTCAAAACATTGGCTCACTTGAACTCAGCAATTTGAGTTCAAGGAGTAAATCCCAGACATGGGAAAAGCTGGGTGCACAAAGGTGTCTCTTATGGATGATAAAGCTAACCTTGGTAGTGTTCTTGGCAATCATAGAGAAATGACAGACACACCCCTGATTGAAGAACAGTTTTCCACCATCTAAAAAGACATTCTCAGAGTATTTGGTTTCTGCCAGGATACACCAAACAGATTACGTCTAGGACTTCCACCTTGTCAAGCATTCCTAGTAACCAACATGATGACAAGTGTCAGAACCAAGTCTCTCCTTACCAAGCGTCAGCCAGAGGGTAAATACTTTTGGCTCTGAAGGCCCTGTGGTCTCAGCTCTGCTCCTGGACTGTGAGGGCAGGACAGAATGGTACAAAAGTGAACGGCTATGTGTTCCAATAATACATGATTTATAAAAACAGGTAGCAAGCTGGATTTAGCTTTGGGCTGCATTTTTCTGACCCCTGATCTCTATGCTCACTTTTATTAGTTTTAAATGCAAAGAGTTTTGAAATATTCTACATATCCAACATAAATGACTTAATAAGTTAATGTATTCATGCATCTGCTGCATTCTCTCGACAGATCTACCAAGTGCCTACCAGACACTGTTGAGTTTGGGGGCTAAGGCAGGGGCAAGACAGGAAGGCATATGGAGTCAAAGGAATATCACCAAAGCTTTTATAAGAGTTCATAATAACAAGAAAAATCCTTATAACCTATGTGAAAAGCAAAATCTGGAGTTGTGTATAAAAATAAGACCAGTGTTTTTAAACTAAAAGATAAAACCACAGGGGGAAAGAATAATGAAAAAAACTACATCAAAATGCCGCTAGCTGCTCCCCTTGGGCTGGTGCATTGCCTCTCCTTTCCCGGGTTTCCCTTTCATTACATGGCTGTCTCCACTTTATAATAAACACCACTCCCTGTTGTATCTGGAAGGGGTTGTTGCTTTTCTTAAGTTAAGGCTGTCTCCCTGCTGCCGGGCCACTGCTGACCCTGATGGGAGCTCATGCCTGGTGACGGTTCAGCACCAGGGACAGAGCCACAGGCTGCAGGAGCCACCTCAGCCCCAAGGGTCAGAGGCTGGACCTCCCACAGAGTCCCTCCAGCAGATATCCAGCAGGAGAGTGCCCCTGAGCCCGGCTTGGGCAAACGGAACCACCACTGCCTCCCCTTGGGACCCGGTGGGGGAGGAGTGTGGGTAAAAAGACCAAACGAAAAAATAAAACCACAGGGGAAAAGAAACAAGTGTGCACAGATCCCATCACCCCCTGTCCGAGCTTCAGGGGGCTCCAGACAAACTGATGCCAGCCGCGCCAACACCTGCCTCTAACTGCCTCTCCCGGGGGTCTCAGAGCCAGCAGCTGGCGTCGGCCGTGGGAGGAAATCCAACATTTTTAACAAACTCTCCAATCAGATGGTGTCTGTGGTGAGCAATTTCTTACGTGTTTGGTCTTTAAGGCTAAAAACAGTGAGGGCACCTTTCAGGGTGGCTGTCAGGAAGGGTTGGGAATCAGGTGGTCCCATCGCAAGTGTCATGAGAAGAGCTTCCGAGGTACGTGGCGTGTTCAAACGTCTTCTTTGCTGATCGTGACTTTGTCCTCTGACTATAAGGCATTCTAGCATTTTTTCTTAAATATACCATATCCATTTCTTTAAGGGTAATTTTCCTCTCTTTTCTAAACATTTTTGTAAAAGTTTCTTTGTAACAGATAAACTTTTTTTTGTTTGTTTGTTTTTGTTTTAAAGAGTACATGGGTCTGTGGGCACTGGTGAAGCACACTGAGTAAGAGCTGACCTGTGGACTAGACAGACTCCCTGTTCTCTTTCAAGAAAGGGACCTCTTCCCTTGGGTTCTCCTCAAACCCCAGGCAGCTCCTTGGGCAGCCTGCTGAAGGAGGGCCTTCCTGGAGCAGCCAATTACCTGCCCCACCCAGACTCCCCAGAAGGGCTTCTGCTCAATACAGTGGCCAGGAGACTAACCTGCCAGAGTAGGGCCAGAAGCTCAAGGAGGGTACCTTCAGGGAGAACCTTCTGGAGCTGCAGGGACAGCCGGCTAGAGCTCCTCAGAGTGAGGCCCGAGAGGCCCTGAATCCACACAGGCATTCTGCACCTTCCTCCGCAGTCAGCTTCCACGCAGGCTCAAGAGGGCATCAGGGGCCACTTCAGCCTGTCCCCTTCTACCCAGAGCGGCACTTCTCAGACCTGAAGTCATCGGGCCCCACAGGCAGTGGGCCCACCCATGGTCACAGAACCTCCTCAGCCCTGCTCTGGACCCCCTTGCTCACAAACTCTCCGCCACTAATCCCAACCAAGACTCAAGTATCTGTGTCCAGGCCCGTCCCACTGCCTGGAGCATACACCCAGCCAAGTCCTGCTGGTCGCCAGTCCCCACACACACCTGGTGTCCTATGCATGATGTACTCCCCCTTCCTTCACCATTCCGACAACACTGTTCTAAAAGCCAGGGGCCCACAACAGACAAGAATCCCTGGGAGCTAAGAGCTTCCACTTCAGAGGTGGAAGACCAGAAAATAAATGGTCCTGAAAAATCATAGCTCGCCAGGTGATGACAAAACCTAAGGAGAGAACTAAGATAGTGGAGGGGACTACTGAATGCCAGTGGGTGGCGGCAGGGAGGCCTCACTGGAAAGGGGCGATTGAACAACGTCCAAAGGAGGGAGGATCTAGCCTCTGCATAGAAAACTGGAAGAAAAAGCACTCCTGGCAGAAGAAGCAGTGCAAAGGCCCTGAGGCAGGAATATGCAGGTTGTGTTCTAGGAAAGGCACAGAGGCCAAGCAGGTTGGAGATGATCAGAGAGGTATAAGGACATCGATGAGGCCTTTCAGTCCATTGTGAGGATACAGGCTTTTACTGTGATCAAGACAGAAACCTGGACTGCTCTGGATGCTTATTAGAAAGACTCTTAAGGGCCAGGGGAAGACAGGCCAGATCAAAAGCCTCTACGATTGTCCCAGAGAGACTATGGCAGCTGAGGCCAGAGCTGGGCAGTGAACATGAGGATGGGCAGTCAGAGTCTGAAGGTGGTGGACAGGCTTTGCTTGCAGGTTAGGGCGTGGGGTATGGTGGAAAGAGCAGTTCTGCTGTTCAGACCTGAAGGCTAGGAGGAGCTGCCATCCAGGAAGTGGTGAAGGCAGCAGGTGGCAGTTGAGGGTGGGAGTGGAAATCTCTCCAGCCTTTAAGCCCTATAGAAAGGAGCACCTCCTCTAGGTGCTGTCCCCACACTTGACCCCAAGGGCCAGGTTCATACACCAGGCATGGCCCCTGCCCAACACTGGCCCTCAGACTTTGCAAGGTCTCTCACAGCACAGCAGGGAGACCTCCTCTGCCTGTGGCCCCCCCTGAACTCTCCACTTGGGGATGTGAGAAGCCCTACAGGAAGTAGCACCTCCTCTAGGTGCTCCCAGGCCTCTGGAGGCAGCTGAAAGCCCTCATGTCCTCCCAATGCTGGCCTCTCCCCACCTCTCGTGCACATCATCATGCACGAAAAGCGTTTCTTTGCACCACAGTGATCTGCATCTGTAGTCATTCCTTGAGCAACCAAACTGATTGTCTTTATATATCATCTGGAGGCGCCTGCACAGAGTAGGTGTTCAACAAGGACTTCTAGGAACACAGGGCCTAGGATAGCGCCTGCGCACAGTAGGTGTCCAACAAGAACTTCTAGGAACACATGGCCTAGGACTGCGCCTGAGCACAGTAGGTGTCCAACAAGGACTTCTAGAAATACACGGCCTAGGACTGCCTGTATAATGCTTCGATAGTCAAACAAATCAATGATAGTCTCTCAGAGAAGATCTTAAAATTCTGCTAGTGCTGATTAACTTTTCAGTGGTAATTATTCCATCTTAAGGTCCCTACATAGAGGCTGACCTGTCCCCCGATATTCAAATCGTCAAGGTAAGCTCTCCCGTGGAAAGGCCAGCTAGGAAGAAGGGAGTTACCTTGCCGGTCCTTATGTCCCACGCTTTGATTTCAGAGCTGAAGCCTCCACATAAAAAAATACTGTGGTCTTTTGGGTGAAATTTCAAGGTGGTGATTCTAAAGTCACTTCGACCACTAAATAGCTGAGTTCCTACAACACAAACAGAAGAGAGGATTAGAAAATATTTAGATCACAAAAATAAATATCTTAAAGCTAAAATACCGACTGGTAAGGAAGCTGCGCAAGAGGGCCACTCACCTGGACAAGCCCCCCATGACCAGGGGAGACCTGGAAACACAACGACGGCGGCACATCTGCCTTCATCCTCCGCCAGCCCCACTGCACCTGGCTGAGCTCTCCCCACACACAGGACCTGACAGGCTGGCAGTAAGTAAGAGTGGCCTTGAGGCAGCCAAGCCACAGAATGGACATGAGGTGTGAACCACTGGGGTCTCCCTGGTCCTATAGGACTCAAGACTGTCTGTTGAGTGCTGTGTGCAGGGCAGTAGTGTTTGTGTGCATGCAGACACACATGTGGGGTGGAAAACAGCACTAGCACTATGATCATTTAGAGGTGTGCTATGTAGACTTCAGACATGCCAATAATTCAGGGTAGGTCAAAGCCAGGGCTCCCTCCACGTCCGAGGGAGGCCTCCACATCCCAGAGCACTGTAATTCTCACCAGTCACACTTAATGCTCCTGAAACTGCATCGAGAACCAAGTCCAACATGGAAGGCACTCTCCCACAGCAGAGTCCGAGTGCTGTCCCCACACTTGACCCCAAGGGCCAGGTTCACACACCAGGCACGGCACCTTCCCAACACCGGCCCTCAGACTTTGCAAGGTCTCTCACAGCACAGCAGGGAGACCTCCTCTGCCTGTGGCCCCCCCTGAACTCTCCACTTGGGGATGTGAGAAGCTGGTGGCCAAGGAGGATGATGCCGAAATCTCACATCATGCCCACTGTAGGCCCAGGAAGTAGTGTTTGTTCATTCGATTCAGAAAGCACTTCCTGAAGGTTGCCCCGCTTGGTGTGCTGGAACCCCACATACTTCCCTCCATCTTTAGCACAAAGAAGCTTGTGAACATTTCACTTGTAAAGCTCCATTTTTCCCTTAAAAAAATTAAAAAAAAAAATGGCTCCTGCAATCAATCAGAAAGTATCAGAGCTACATTCTCCCATTTTTAACAAAAATTCACTGAAAAATTCAGCTCAAGATTCACTGAAATCTTCATTTAAAGAATTTTAAAACATAGCACATACCTGTAATCACAGAGGCTTGGGAGGCTAAAGCAGGAAGATCATGAGCTCAAGGCCAGCCTCAGCAATTTAGCGAGACCCTGTCTCCAAATAAAATATTTAAAAAGGGCTGGGGACTTGGCTCGGTAAGGTTAAACACCCTGGGTTCAGTCTCCAGTACCAAAAAACAAAAACATATTTTAAAACAGATTAAAGAAACACTGAGCTCAGGTTAAGGCTATAGATATTAAGGTTTTTAACAGGTTATACTCTTAGACTGTTTTTGGCCAAAAATAATAATAATAATAATAATTTTATAGAGAGAGAGAGAGAAAAAGAGATGGGGGGCAGAAACAATGGAAAAAATTGAAAACACCTGACTTCTGGGGCTGGCGTACATTCAGTGGTATAGCATGTGCTTAGTATGCCTGAGGCCCTGGGTTCAATCACCAGTACCAAAGAAGTATCTGCTTTCAAGAAATTCTCTCCATGGTAAATGTTTTTGGAAGGCAGTACTCTCCTCCTTTGTTGGAGCGCCCTTACCTTGATGGATGACTAAATACACTGATTTTTAAAATATGCTCCAGGGGCCTACAATCAGCAGCTACTTGTCATCACAGAAAAGTTCAGAAATATTTGGAAAATCTCTCCATCTTTAAGCTCCACAAGCCCTAAACCATTTTACTACCAAGATGTAGTAGCACACAAGGTATCCATGGCCACCTGGTGCCGGTGCCGACAGCAGACTGACTCCAGGTCACAGAGGCCATAGCAGTGAAGAGCTGCTGCACACGCCTGGCTGTCCAGCCCCAGGGAGCAGCTGTGGCAGCAGGAGCCTCTGCCTGAGAGCGCGCTGCCCTGATGGGGAGAACCGCAGCAGCGATCTGCAGCAAGATGGCTAATGCTTGACACGGGTTCTTACATCTCAGCGTGTCCAATGCAAGCCATGTGGCAAAGACAAGGAAAAGAGCAACCGAAATGAAATCCATTGTTCTGGGGTAGGAAGAGAATTTTGTAAATTATGCTAGTACTTTTTTCATAATAATGTATTTCTAACAGAATTCTTTAGAAAGTCACCTGGGAGCTGACTTCCAGGTGCCTTGGGGTTGTGTTTCTCCCTCATTAGGCCAGCAGCACCATGACCCTTGGGTCAATGTTTTAAAAATCACTTTTGGGGTGCTGGGGTCATGGCTCAGTGATAGAGTGCTTGCCTAGCATGCAAGAGGCACTGGACTCGATCCTCAGCATCATATAAAAATAAAATAAAGATACTGTGTCTACCTATAACTAAAAAATATATTTTTTTAAAAATCACTTTTTGATGAATCAGTCTAATTGGCATTTCTCAAATTTACTCTTCTTTTCCTTTCCTGAAACTTATCTGGAAGCCAAGCTCTTCCTTATTTTTGTTCAACTGCAGACCAATCAGAAACCACCCATAAAAAAGGGGCAGAGGAGGGTCACTCCCTCAGCCTCCACTCCCACTCAGGCTCTAGCAGAGTCCTGAGAAGCTTGCTCCAGCCAAGTGGATGGAGACTGTGGGAAGGCCTTGGGCGTGACCAAGGGCCAAGGACCCCCACATCCTCTCCATGGAAAAGAAGGGCAAGAGCCGATGTGGCCCACACACCAGCCCAGGGCGGGGCGGGCCAGAAGCATCTCTCAGAGACAGCTGTGCCCACTGCCAGCCTGCTCAGCTGCAGCTCTCTGCCAGTCCTCAAATCTAAAAGGAAGGAAGCTCTACTTGCCTGAAGGTGAGGATGCTTCCCCGTTTCCTGGACTGCCACAGAAAGCCATATGCTGGGTTTGGGAAATGGCAGTGAATTATCCATATGTTCTTTCAAAAAGTGCAACAACACAGCCTCGTCAACAATGAGGAAGAAAGAAGAAAACTGAGTTGCTAAAAGATGATGGTTGGTGTTGGGGCTCAGCGACAGAGCACTCGCCTGGCATGTGTGAGGCCCTGGATTCGATCCTCAGCACCACATAAAAAATAAATAAAATAAAGGTACTGTGTCCATCTACAACTAAAAAATTAGGTAAATATTAAAAGATGATGATTGAAGTTTTCCTGCCCCCTTAAAAAAAAAAAAAAAACCTTGCATTCATGAATGCTATTTTTCCTCAATGCACAAGGAGATGGAGAATCTGCCTTTTAAGTACAAAACTGGTTCCTTCAGAAGACAAGCTATGGTGTATATTTTTCCTACTTTTAATAACTAGGTCTTTAAAAGATTTTTCAACTTTTGAATAAGCTTCCAGACATCTCATGGAAAACAGTAGGGGGGAAGTCTATTAAATAAAAGAGGCCTCAAAACACTTGGGTTCAGAAACAGGGGCCAAGGTGACCCTGACCTGGCCCCGTACTTGTTTTTCCACACCAGGGATGGAGCCCAGTATGTTTGCCACTGAGCTACATCCCATGTTGTTTCTAAAGATTTTTTATTCTGAGACAGTATCTCACTAAGTTGCTGAGGCTGGCCTCAACTCGCACTCCCGCCTTGGCCTCCCGAATTACTAGGGTTACAGGCTGTGCTACCACGTCCACGTGGACACAATGTTTGAAGCGGGAGGAGGCCTAAGCGAGGAGCTGGCACAAACCAGCTCCATCACTTCCAGCGGAGGGACCTTGGGCTGGTTCCTCTGTCTCTGTGCTCAACTGTCGTGAGGATTAAAAGCTAAGTGGTCCATAAGGCACTCTATGGAGCAAGCAACAAAAGGGAGCTATGATAGCTTGAAAAATCAAACCCCAACCTGCTGGATTCATCCTTGGTTAAATTAAAAGCTAAAACCAAAAACTACTGGCTTTTAACAGCAGGAACCTTGAGAGATTAATGATTGTTGAGCTTTGTCGTGAGGCTCTGAGAACGCTGCCCTGGGCTGGCCTCTGCATGTGCTGAAGGGACAGGGTGGCTGGAGGACGCTCCAGCTGAACACCTTGACTGTTAACAGCAGATATGCCCGAGGCCAAGGGCATTCTAAGGTTTGCTGCCTCCCTTCCGCAGGACAGCACTGTTACCAGCTCCTCTGGGCCAGGCTTCCTGAAACCCCTGGTTGGTTGTTATTAAACCTTTAACCTGGAGACTAGCTTGCTTGTGTGTGTGTCTATTATTTTAAAAATTCTATTTCTTCACTGTATGCTTATTATAGGAAACTAAGCTCTAAAATATTTAATCCACTGGCACTGGCTTTATTGATCTGATTAGACTGAGCTCAACTAGTATAAAAATTGCTCAGATTTTATTAAGCTAAGAAAAATTACTTCTTTTCCTCCCTTAATCAATAAGGATACAAATAAAGAATAAATTATCAGGCTAGTAGTAGAGCACTTGCCTAGTGTGGGCTAGGCCCAAGTTCAATCCCCAGCACCTAAATAAATAAATAATCATTGAAGCAAAAACACATTTAAAACAGCACAGAAACTCAACATGTTCTCCTGCACCACAGCCCCTGCCGGTGCTTCCAGGCTCCAGTGTCACTGTCATGGGGCCCCGCGGTACTGGACCCTGGGCTCCTCGAACTGCCTCTCTCCCTTTCTCAGGGGCAGGCACTGAGCTCCCCCAGGTGACCACCCTATGGCTGGGGCAACACCACCTGTCTGCTCTCATGCCGGCCCTGGGGGACCCTATGGTCACAATGTTTGACCCTCCTAGCTCAGGTCCTGGCACTTAACTGGTATTTAGGGTCAAATGAAATCCCAGGGAAGAGAGGGGACATACATACCCTCCCTCCAATGTCCCCAAGGAAGAGAGGGGACATCCATGTCCTCCCTCCAGGGAGCTCACTTTGACCAAGGAGGAGATGATCGATGTTAATGACAAGCCCATTACCTCCAGGCCTGTCTGGGGTGTGCACTTATCACACCTCAACCCCAGCTGGCTCAGCAAGGTGAGACACTATGAAACCTGTGAC